GGGCCGGGAGGACCCCAGCCCCACCACCTCCTCTGACGGGACACCGAGGCCCCACCTGGACAGTCGGCTTCTTTGGTGCCCCCGCCCTCCCTGGATTCACATTCTAGAATGGTCCCTTGGCCCAAGGTGGCTGCTTTTGTTTCCTTTGCCTGGGATGTGGGTGCTGAGGGAGCGGCGGGGCTGTCTTTCCATGAATTCGGGGTGTGCTGGGACGTCCTGAGCGAGTGGCCTTGGCAGCGCCGAGCTCCCCAGAAATGCTTCCTTCCATCTTGTCGGGATGAACACCTGTCCTGGGCTCTGGTCTGGGTTTGCGTTTTCAGACTGAGGGGCTTTTTCAATAAAGGAAAAGATGATGTCACACGTCCTGTTTCTGGTGCTGAAAGTACCTAGTGGGGCAGTCAGGCTGGTGATGTCTCAAGTGTTACTATTGTAGCTGTTGTTTCTGCTGTCTTTCTAAAAAAATGTCTGTTTTAATTCCGGTGTAGTTAATGTACAGCCCAGGCGTACGATGTGTGTCCAACGCCTCCTCCATCACCCGGTGCTCAGCACGGCAGGCGCTAAGGATAAACACTTCCACACGACGTCCATTCTGGGCCGGGCTGTGGCCGGAGCGAATATTCTCCCACCCAGCTCAGCAGGGGCGAGGTTCATGCCTGTGGGAAATTGTCTCCTGTGTGAATAAGAAGCCAGCAGACTCCTGTGTGTGCACGTGCCCGTGTGGGTCTGGAGGGTGATTTGTACGACCCACAGGTACGAAGGAGGCATTTACCTGTGTCCAGTGTCTGACCTCAGGACTGCGGAGCTCGGGGGGGGCGGCAGGTAATCCGGGAACCAGACGTGCGCACCACAGGGGCTCTGCAGATGGCTGGATCCAGCGGCCCAGGCCTGGCCGCTCGCGTGCTCTGCAGACCCTGCTCCTGGGCCCAAGAGTGGAGAAGCGGGCCTCTGGGGGGACGTGGAGAGTGCGCAGTAGCATCCCAGAGCCCGGATCCCTGCTGCGGGACCGCGGGCTGGGAACAGGCTGCAAATGAAGAAAAAGCAGACCTGGTCTCCACCGCAGAGGCTGAGAAACAGGGCTGAAGACTTTGCGTTTCTTCTTTTGTCGGGCATACAGTTACATTCTACTTTATATATTTGACTCTATTCCTTCCTGGGTCTTAATCCAAGATGGAGAATATAACGTGATCAGGGCAAGCTGCCGGGTGCCAGGAAGATGTCATGCTGAACATCTCACAACCAAAAACCGTGTAAGACGTTGTATCTGAAGCCAACAACCTGGGGGGCCAGGATTGGGAAGCAGGCCCATCATCACCAAACACGCCAGGACGGGGCGGCATCTTCGGGTCCTGGTCAGTATGCCTGTTGGGCGTCCCAGTGTTGGCCCTTGCCTGTCTGCCGCCCACACCGCCTGCCGTCCAGTGGCCTGAGCTCCTTTCTGTTGGAAACGCCAGAGCGTGCACTTGCCCGCCTGCCCACGGAGAGCAGGGCTCTGGGGTAAGTGCCTCCTGTCTCTGCTGATCATAGCGGGACCTACGAGGTTCCTGCGGAGGCTCACATGCTTAGTGCTGAGCGCAGGGCTGCTGCAGGGACGACTGCCCACGGGTGCGTGTGGGAGTGTGGCCGTGCAGGCACACGTGTGTGTGTGCAAGCATCGTGAGCGTGTGGGAGTGTGGCCGTGCAGGTGCGTGTGTGCA